GAAAATGTGGCGAAAACCGGGGTTTTCGCCATTCTAGCCCGGCCCGTATGGTAAAGCTAAGACGGACCTCGTCGAGATCTATCATTTGATATCAAATCTGTCAAAATCTCTTGTTCTGAAGCCGAGTTATCTCCAGGCCGGTTTGCAACTATGGATTTTTCCCCGGGGGCACTCACCACTGGCTTCAGATGAACCTCCAACATTCCAAAGTACATCTCCACCTCTTCCTCCCCCTTCGCATGACGAATCATCTCCGTCTCAGGCGGTAGGAACACGTGGACTTTTCTGTCAGCGATGCGAATCATCAAATACTCCCCGATGAAGCTGAGAATCTTGTCATTGAACCACTCGTTGTTCTCCAGAATCATCAAGTCTGGAATGTAGAGGACGACAGACTCGAAGGAGACTTTGTAGTTGGGATGGACATTCGCGGGGGCCTCCATTGGTCTGGAAAACTGGAATTTGACTGAAAAAGAAGAGTGGAGAAGAAGGAAATATAGATATAAACAGCAGAAAGAAAACTGCAAAAAAATATGCTTTAAAAATGGAAAAGAAATACTTTCAGAATTTATAAAAATCAAAATTAAGCACGTTTAAAGCATTGCACAAACCGGTAGTACTACAAATTACAGTTTAAAAAAGCGGTAAAATCAAATATTCCAAACACAGCCTAGAATATCAGGAATCTCGTGATTAGTATCTACAGTAAAAGGATTATCAGTGTCAGAATACGGTACACACGGGTAGTCGAATGGAATGTTGAAGCGGGTTGGATCGGTGATCAGGACGCCCATCTCGTAGGAACGGACCATTAGTTGATCCGTTTTTTTCTGGAAAAGTTTAGTTTTTTTAGGAAGAGGGGTTCTACAGTAATTCTAGAAGCTCCTACAGTAAGCCTAAATATTCTAACGAACGGCTACCGTAGTCGTGGACGATCTAGCCTAGGATCTAGATTCGTTACAGTAACCCGTTGAGCTTTCTACAGTAATCCTGGAAGTTTCTACAGTTACCCCACTGTAGCTCAATATTATTAACAGTTATTTTTCTGGATCTTCAACAGTAATCCTAGAACTTCCTACAGCAATCCAAATAAATATTATTGCTGGATATTCTACAGTAATCATAGACACTCTAACAAGAGCCTAGAACCTAGAGCAGCCACTACGCTTACCATAGAACATCCTACCGTAACCCGTTGAGCTTCCTACCGTAATCCTAGCAATTCCTACAGTAATGCAAGACTTTCTTACAGTAATTCTGGAAATTCCTACAGTAATCCTAGAACAGAACTCCCTACAGTAATTCTAGAACTTTCTACAGTAACCCAAATAATGATTTCTGCTTGACCTTCTACAGTTCTAGCCAAATCCTAGAACCTAGATTCTTTAAAGTAATCTTAAAGCTTCTACAGTAATCCGAGATATTCTAACTGATGTCTAGAACCTATATACAGTAACCCATTGAGCGTCCTACAATAATACTAGAATTTTCTAAAGTAACCCTACTGTAGCCCTTGATGTTTTTCATTTTCTCTAGGACCTTCTACAGTAGTCCGTTGAGCTTTCTACAGTAACCCAAATCACATTAAACTAATTATAAACCTTCCATCTTTATATCAAATTTATAGAAACCTTCAAAGCTTACCTACAGTAATCCTAAGCCTACCTACAGTATTTATTGATCCATCTACAGTAACCCAGATCCACCGTAGCACCCCTTACCGCTTTCGAAAACGACGCCTCTCCCCATGCGGCTTTCGACAGGTTTGCACTGGTGACCAATTGCCATTGGGGCACTTTTTTATCGAATTTCACATAAGTTTTGCAGTGAGGTACGGCATGAGTTCGTCGTTTCGCATTGGAGCGCCATTTGCACATCACGCCTTGGAGCCATTTTTGACGGACTGGAAATATGAGGCTTTTGGGTCAAATTTTGGAATTTCTATGTTATTTTTAGGCTATTTTCAGAGGCATTTTGTGATTTCTGGACCAAATTTAAACCATTTTCCGTCAGATTTCTCACCATGAACACTATTCCTGTAGGGCACAGATCCACCACCAGCGTACCCTTGACAACTCGTTCTGACATCTTCAACGCAAGGAAAAATGAGATACATCTTGGCTGGCTTGCTCTTCGGTGCTGGGTTGGCGCCTTCCAGACTCTGGAATAGGAATTTTCAGCTTTTTTGGAATTTTAGAGTTTTCCAATTTTTCTTAAATTTTCAAATAAGAAATCACACTTCTAGAAGCCGAGATACAGCGTTTTGGAGTTTGTCAAGGTTGGAGACGCAGGGTGTCTCGTCGTCTGCGTCTCTAGCTTTGTCAACTTTAAACCGCTGCATCTCGGCTCCTAGATGAGCAGAAAAACTGAAAATCGGACAGATATTTAGCACATTTTTAGTGCTATTCGATTTCTAATGAAATTAATACTTTTAAAAAAAATCAAAATCAAAATTTCAGTGTGAAATTTCTAGGTTTTTTTGATAAAAAAGAAAAAATAAATAAAAATTTGGACAATGAACATTTTTAGACAATTTTAGCCGATTTTGGACTATTTTCAGCCCTTATTGATCATCTTTTCAGACAATCTGGGATCATTTTTAACCATTCTGACCATTCTAGACCACTTTTGGACCGTTTTAAGCATTTTTTGGACTATTTTCAGCCAATTTTCAGCTCCTTCGAAATTCTGGAAATTTCAGATTTTTCTCACCTTCAAAAACTGGCCTCGAAACCAATCGATCGGTTGCTTGCCTATAGATCCAATCGAACTGCACTGACTGATAAAAGTGCATCGTTCCGTGTGCTCATAGCTCGGATCAAATGGAAACTTCTCCGTTAGGATCCTTGCTAGTCTAGGGTTCCGAAATTGAGACGAGCCACATGGGTATGGTATCCGGGCGTGGAGAAGATCAATCGATCGGTGATCGAGGAGAAATCAGTTGATTGGATTAGTTCGCGCCAGGGTGTTAGTAGGTTACGGTAGAAGCTGAGGTACTCGAGCAGGTCGGATTGGAAGGGGCATCTGGAAAATTGAAAGATTTGTATAGGGCTTATATTGAGGGGTTTTCGGGTTGAAATTCGAGAGTTTCAGATCAAATTCAAGGTTATTAAATCAAATTCAAGGTTATTAAAAGCTCAAATTTGCTATTTTAAGCTACAATTACGGCGTTTTATGCTCAAAATTGGCATTTTCGGGATCAATTTCAACATTTTTAAAGCTCAAACTAGATTTTTTTAATTCGAAATTTGTCATTTTTTGGGTTCAAAACTGATATTAATAGGATCAAATTTCGTGATTTTTAGATTTAAAATTGTTATTTTTTGGATCGAATTCTTCAAGTTTAGGCTTTAAACCAAATATTATTAAGCTTAAAATTGGTATTTTTGAGAAGAAGTTCCATATTTTTAAAGCGCTTTTTAAAGACATTTTGAGTTCAAAATTCGGCGTTTTAGAATTCAAAAATGATATTTTTGAAGTCACAATTTCTGATTTTTGGTTATAAAAAATTGGTACTTTTGGGATCAAAAGCCACGATTTCGGCGTTTTCAGGCTCAAACTTGGCATTTTTGGGGTCAATTTTAACATTTTCAAAGCTCAAAAATGCTATTTCAAATGAAAAATTCCTCATTTTTCGAGCTGAAAATAAATGTTTTCCGGCTGAAATTCTATGATTTTTAGGGTCAAAATTGATATTTTAGAGCTCAAATTGAACATTTTAAAGCTCAAATCGAATATTTTAGGTTACAAACTCGGCGTTTTTTTGGGTTCAAAACAGATATTTTTATGCTCAGAATTGGAATTTTCAGAGCCAAAAAAAGAGGCCTACCTCTGTGCCTCACCATCTCTCCTTAATCCGCATGCATAATAAAATTGTTGTGTTTTGAATTCCCAATCATCTGGTACCAAATTTGCAGTTGACACAATCACATGGACCCGTCCATCCTCACTCTCCATTATCGACATTTTCGTGTGATGGGTCCCGAAGGGAATGGGGAGCGGCGCGCCGATTACTGTCACATTTTTATGGGCGGCGCATTCGCGGCTCAGCGCTGCCTTGTCGCTGGCGCCGACCACAAGAGTCATTGGAGTCGTTCGGAGGGATGGAGGGTAGGAGCTGGAAGATCGAAAATCAGATTTTGAAGATTCAGAAGTTCACGAACTTCAACAAGTACTGAAAATCTATCATAAACGATAGGTGAAGTGCTTGGGTGGGTCGAATATCCGCCAGAATGTCTTCTAGAGAAAGGGATCCTTCGGATTCCTGACGTGGTACACTGATTCCGCCGATCTGGAATTTTTTTTTGGGGGTTTTAAAGGTTCGGAAATTGCCAAAAGGTAGGATTCGAGGTGATGGCCTAGAAATACACAATCTGGAAAAATGTGGCCTGGCTTTGGGTTCCTAGGCCATCTAATTAAAAATTGTATAAATCGCTTTAAAATCAATATTTTGGAAATCTGAAAATCGATTTGTAGCTGTCAAATCCAGCTCTTTAAAACCATATATACCATGGCCTAGTTTTCCGGAAATTCGGGTTTCTAGGTCACCAATTGGTTTCTAGGCTTACAGGCGTAAAATAGATTTTCCCTTGCTCCAAAACCGATCCCACTCGGGTTACTGTGGGTTCTCGGGTTACTGTAGCCCGTTTCTTCGCCGCCACATCATCTGAATCCAAAGGTCCTGGTTGACTCGGGTCTAGTGATCTCTTCATTTTTCTGAAAAATTCGATTGAAATCGAAATTTCAAAAATAAAAAATGGAAAAGAGAAAAAACAATCGGAATAAGAACCGGAAGAAGTGAAAATCGAAAAATATAAAGAAAATTTTAAAAAATAGAGATTTTTATAGGTGGAAAATTGCAATATAATTATCAACAAGAAATTCAACAAGAGAAAATGGATATTTCTAGAAAAAATGATTATCCGATCATCTCCCGTTTTCGGCCACGAAGTCGGATCTCTTCCAGCTTCTTTTCGACGGCAGTGAACTGAAATTTTGAAATTTTGTAGGGGTCAAAAATGAAAGTTGAAAATTGGGCGAAAATCCTTTAAGATTGCACCCATTTTAAGGCTAAATTAGCTTATTTTGAGGCTAAAATTGGCCTATTGTAAGGCTAAATTGGCTTATTTGAGGTTAAATTGGCTCATTTTGAAGTTGAATTGGCTCATTTTAAGGCTTTTGAGGCACAAAATTTAGGAAATTTTCAGATAAAAGGTCAAAACCTCCTCCACGCCCAAAACTTCGAATTTTTCTTCAACTTTCTGCGTGACCTAATCGGCGTCTAGATTCATATTGCCTTTTTTCTGCCACGCTGCGCCACGCGCCCAGGCGGTCCAAAGCTCCATAAATAGCCGGGGGTTTCAGGCGAATCGCGAATCAGTTTTAATCTCAGAGATCAGTTTGGAGCGGAGGAGTCGAGGAGCCGAAGGAGCAGCCAAGAAGATTCATCCAGAAGACGTCAGAGGATTCTGGAGGCACACAGGAGCCAAGGGAGTTGGAGCAAAGCGAATGGTGTCGCGTAAAAGCTGTCGTTGGATTTAAACATTGGACATGGGGATGTTGGATAGCCAAGCCGATCCAGAAGACGTCAGGAGATTCTAGAGAAGCCAAGCAGACCCAAAAGGAGCCAAGAAGACTCTTGGAGCCGTTCAGAAGACGTCATCAACGACTCGTGGCAATTCAGAAGGTCCCAAAGAGAAGGATAAGGAAAAGGCACTAGGATGAGATTGGGGTGAGTTGGCAATTTATGGAAAATTTTGCAAAATTAAAGATGATGATTTTCAGACGAATAAGAAGCCCAGAAGCAAGTAATAGGCTAGCGAGGAGGAAAAGGAGAAAGACGAGGTGCTGGCGGCCCCGAAAAAACGTGGACGACTCGAGAGGCCGCGGGCGAGCCGCCAGACTTCAGAAGATCTAGAAAAAAAGAATCGAATAAGAAGAAGCTGCCCAGACAAAGGAAAAGAAGAAGAAGGGTCAGGAAATGTGCTGGCGGCCGCGACGGAACGTGGGCGACTTGAGAAGCCGCGGTCGAGCCGCCAGCATGAAGACGTGGAACGTGGGAAGCACGTGGAAAGAACAAGGTCCAGAGATAGAGGGCGTTCTAGACAGAACGTAGACGACTCGGTAAGTAAAATGAGCCTAGGAATCCAAATTCTTATCAATTTTTCTAGATAAAAGGACCGAGCCCTTCCAGAAGACAAAAAAAACGAGGAAGGAGGAATCGAGAAGAAGAAGGCTCGGAGAAAGATGCGTACGTCGTCAGGCCAAACTAGAGAAATGAAGTTTGATCCGATGAAGATGATAAGAAGAAGAAGGAGGAGGACGCTTGAGAAGGTCACCTTGGACTAGAAAACCCCCTGAATTCTAAAAGTATCTCATCTTTCAGGTGTCTCCAAGGCCAGAGGACAATTACAACACGGGAGATGTGCTGGTGAAATGACGTTGAAGGGAAAGAAGACGAACGTTGTAAAAAACACGAGGAAAACGATAAATGAATTAAGAAATTGCAAACTTTAATTTTTATTTATTTTTAGATAAACCTTTTTATTAAAAAAAAAAGTTTTTTTCTGACTAAAAAGACTCACCTGCTTCTCGTTGACCTTTTTGTATCCTTCCATGAGCCCTTCCAACAGCGCCTTGCTATTCTCATGTGTGCTCACGACTGCTCTCTCCAAGACGTATAAATCCACGCCTTTTTCTTCTGGAGTTACCTGAAAATTGTAATTTGTAGTTTGTAGGTTATATAGCCCCCTTTTAAATACCTTTCCCTGTGACGATAATCCAAAATCAATGAACGTCAAGCGACTCAATTCTCCGTTTTTAAGAATCATATTCGACGTCGTTAGATCTCCATGAACCAGTCCTCCTAGATGTAATTTCGCCAGATTCGCTCCCAAAACTGCGCCGAATTCGCGCATTTTTTCGTCGTATTCATCGCTGGAGAGTTGGGAAATCCAATATTTCGCTGTCGGTCCTTTAATATACTCCAGAATCAGTTGGTTCTTTTCCGCGTCGATGAAGTAGACAGTGGGCACCAGGACACCGAGCTGGAAATTTTGAATTTGAAAATTTTCAGCTCAATTAGTGGAATAGTAAGTACCTGTCGAGCTTTCCACATTCCGCGAATCTCCTGTTTCGTTCGGGCTTTGTTGAGGCGAGTGTCGAGTGTCGGGTGTCGATACCCTTTGGAGAATCTGGAATTTCAGTTTATTTCAGATATATTTAGTTAAATTTTGTTCATTTTTCAGAATTTCTGTGCTGTTTTTACTTTTCTGATAGAAAAAATCCGAAAAAAAACGTCAAAAACATTAGCAGACTACTTTTCTCTGCGTCTCGTGGGTCTGCTAATGTTTTTAGAGTGCGAAAACATTAGCAGACCCACGAGACGCAGAGAAATAGTTTTAAAAAACATTAGCAGACCCATTTTTCTCTGCGTCTCGTTGGTCTGCTAATGTTTTTACACGTGGAAAATAATTTGCAGGCCTACGAGGCATGGGCCTGTTAAATATTTAGCAGACCAATCGAAAATTTTGCATATTCCAGGTGATTTCTAATCTATTTAACTCATTTTTTCTCAATAAATCAGCAAATTTCCCCTATTGACCTCTCTTTGATAACCGCCTCTCGTCCCAACCAGACACATTTCGTGACTTTTGCCTCGGCGCCTTGATACAGAATATCGTTCAGCTCGTATCCAAATCCCTCCTCCGTTGTCGTCTCGAAATCCATTTCTTCCTCGATTTCTGGCATTTTTAAGGATCTAAAAAGTCCCAGTAGCTAGCGAATTGAACAAAAGATGGCTAAAAATATATATTCAATAGCGGAAAAAACGCTTAAAATCTGAAATTTTTGAATTTAAAGAACAAAAAAAAACAGAGTTTATAAGAGAATCAACGAGATGAATAACAAGAACAAGAACAAACAAAACTAATTAATAACGAATTTTCTCAAAAAAAATTATTCAGCTTCCTCCTCGGTTTCCTCTTCCTCACTACTACTCGGCGGTAGATCAATATCCCTCGAGTGCTCCTCCCGCTCCTTATCAATCCTCTCCAAATACTCATTCTGCGCCTTGATCACTTCTTCCGGCGTGTTACAAGCCGCATACAGCTCCAACAACTCCTTGTTCAGCTCAATAAAGTGCTCCCCCCAAGTGAAAGGCTTCATAAGACGATGAGCCGCTTCTCGGAATCCCAAAATGTATAAACCAGCGGCCATGGCTTCTGCGCATGTCAAGTGGCACGGTTTTCCATAGTTTACTGAATTAGCAGCGACCAAATAAGGCAGGAGACGGTGTTCCGGGGCTTTTACTCTGGAAAAACGCAATTTTAAGGGACAAAATTCTTTAATTTTCTTACTTATGCAACGGTGTTCTCTCCACCTCCTTCCATGAACAATCTACTACACACAGTCCATGTTGTTCGACAAACGGACGGTCCCTCGGTGCCAGCGTGTACTTTCCAGTGGGACTTAACACTAATCCAGGAAATCTTTGACCCAGTTTCACTTCTGTAATCAAATCGGCACGCAGGAGTTTCCTTCCGGAGCATCGTTTGGGATCACACTGATTGAAATCGTACATAGCTAGACGGAAGGGGAAATCGTATTCTTCTTCTTCAGATGACGTGGCATCTTCGTCTGATCCTGGTTCTGATGTGGATTCGTCGTCAGCGTCTTCTGAATCTTCTACTTCTTCTTCTTCCTTTTCTTCTTCTACATCTTTCTGCCTTGGAGGCTTGTCCCGTCGTTTCGGTTTTACAACGCGATTTTTGCTTTTTCCCATGCTGAAAAGACATTTTTTAAAATGTATTTATAGAAGAAAAAATCCGAAAATTTGGCGAAAACGGCGAAAATCGCGAAAAATGTGTAGGATTTTCAAACCAAATGTTCAAAGGTTTTTTGCGATATTTGAAAGATAATTTTCGTTCTGATCAGTAGACGAAAACTTTTTCTTCATTATAAAACAAGTTATGAAGTGCTTGTTTGAAAGATAATATTTTACTTTTTAAAAATGTGAATAGAAAAAATCCGAGGCGTCGTCAAATCGCGCGCACTGCGTACCTTATGGTGTTTACACAGCTGACGTCGAATTGAGCTCATTTCGGAGCACTTTCGGCTCTTTTTCCATGAAAATGTTTGCTTTTCGAGCTTTTACTGACCAAAAATTATATTCCAGATAAATGTGGGTACTTCTACTACTTGCCGCTATCATCCCACAGACATTCTGTCAGCTAGAAGAGTATAAAATCGATGTAGAAGAATGTAAAACAGCGGGATTCAATCCGGAGACATTGAAGGTAGGTGGAAAGCTTGAAATAAACTTAAAATGTCTGAAAAAGCAGCCAAAAATTTAAAATATTCATTTTTCCAGTGCGGTCTGTGCGAACGGCTATCAGACTATCATTTGGAGACGCTAATGTCCGATTGTATGCAGTGTTGTATAAAGGAGGAGGAGTTCAAGCATAATGTATTTCAATTTCAAAAAAAAAAATTAATTAAAATGTTTAATTTTTTCCAGAAGTACCCAACTGCAATTCTAGAAGTTTGCGAGTGCAATTTGGCGAGGTTCCCACAGGTTCAGGGTAAGCTTTATCAAGATTTCAAGTGCATTTCCGGCGCCAAAAATGAACTCTTCAACGAATTTTCAAATTTAGCATTCGTCCACAAGGATATGGCTCGACAGTTCGGCGGAAAGGTCCGTGTGAAGCATGTCAGAGGAGTTCGGCCACAAGTCGCACTGAAAGACGCCGATTCCAAGACACAAGAGGTGTTGAGTGTCGAGAAGTGGGACACCGACACACTCATCGACTTCTTCAATCAGTGGCTGGAATAAATAATTATAATTTATCTATTTTTCTTTTTCTCTAATTTTCCATGGTTTTTACTGGTATTTCTTGTTATTATTTGTCTCATAAAATTCAAGGGATTTTTGATTTTCTTTTCCTGGAAAATCTTTGGGTCCCGCCCGAAAAATCAAAAATTTGGAAATTCTGAAGAGGAGGAATGACTCAGCAGTCAAAATCCACTGTGGGAACCTTTGCGTTGGCTAGAGGTCATTCTGAAGAGCTCACGTCATCTGGGAAAGCTTCAGAATTTTTCGAAAATGTTGAATTTTCAACTTTTTCACATTTCAGAAAATCACCATAAAAAAGGAGTAATTACATAGAAACCCTGAATTTTTCACTTTTTTTTCCACTATAATTATTTATTTTTCCAGCAATATTCAGATAATTAAAGATTGTCCTGTTTTCTGGTTTAGTTAGATGTGCAGGTTCTCTATTTCAGTTTCCGGCGGTGGGCGGATCTTAGGTCCGGTAGCGAAGTTAAAGGCGCGTTTGGAGAAAAAGAAATCTTTTTTTCGATTTTTACTAAATTTTTACCTAGATTTTTACTTAATTACTAACGATTTACGTAATTATTTTTCTTGAAAAAATTCGAAAAAGAACCGCACAAAAATTGCATAAAATAAAGGTTTTTTTTTCTCAATTTTTCGACAAAATTTTCGAAAAAAAAAATCCGAAAAATCGCACAAAAATCGCATAAACTGCGGGAAATTTATTGAATAATCAATGAAATTCGTCGAAAAATTGGAAAAAATAAATACTCAAGAAAATAATTTCGAAAATGCATAAAAACAATAAAATTTATTTTTTAATACGATTTTTCGAATTTCTGTAAAAAAATAGTTCAAAATCTATAAAAAATTCATCGAAAAATCGTAAAAAACAGTCCTGAAAATAAAGTGCATGCTCCTTTAAATGCACATTGAAAGATTTTGCTACCGCACCTAAGCTCCGCCCACCTTCGACTTTGCCGCCGATTTTTAAAAAATTAACTCGAAATCGCAATTTTCCAGAATTTTGTTTGCTGAAATTGTGATTTTGAAAAACGTGTTTGCGTACTTTCAGTGCTACAGTAATCCGAAATGACCTACAGTCAAACGCGAACAAAAATTCCGGTTAAGCGCATTTGCAACCACCACCAAACTACACTTGAACTCTAGGTCTTTACAATGATCTCTTGTTCGTCTATCTTATTTTCTACGATTTTCACAAAATTGCAACATAATAGGACCCCCAATTTCTTCTAGTTCACCTAGTACACCTGCAAATAATCGTAGTTTTAAAGTGCGTGTCCACAGGAAGAGGTAGTTCCTGTCATGTCTAAACGCGCTCCAACAAGAATGACCGTAATACTACGCGAAATCTTTGCTTGCATTCCATCGGAAAAAAGCTACAAAGATACAGTAATTTGCGCCAATTCACGCACGAAGCTTGCTCTATTAAAGTCCCAACTTCTACGTGCACTTTGAGATCAATTATCTCGATTTCTGTAAACGGTATCAAAAATTTTTCAACTGATAAAATATAGGTGATAAAATGATAAATATTTTATCAGTTGACAGAATTTCGATATCTTTTACAGTAACCGAGATAAATTGGATCAAAGTTGGCAAACAATAATTTGCGACTTCCGGACTTGATCACTAGGAACATTCCTAGCATGTCATTTCCCGCTCACCACGTCACAGTTGAATTCTGATCTTCTGTTCCATGCTTCCCAGACACCACCAAGTTCCCTGTCGTCGAAAAAAAAACAATTAATTCTATTCTTATCAGTCTCTCCCGTCCCCCCAGAAAACTGCTCCTGATTATCCAACTGGTTCTTCCGAATCCAAGTGGTCAGGGGGGGGGCTCCGTGTGGCTGGTCAGGAGGTTTATCTAAAGTACAAACACAGAGGGAAGGGAGAAGACTGTATGAACAGAAGATTGTGTCCTTTTTCCTCTTTCCGATGAGCGGGAACGCGTCCGTTTTGTTTAGAAGATCGTGTTCTGGGATTTCGGGTTTTTATCAATCGATTTGATTAAATTTTTATGGGGGGCTTTTACTCTTTTATAGATATTGAGATACCGTAACTACTCTAACCACTAACTTTCAACTTTGACCCAATTTCGGTGTCTTCTCGGTTTCTGTAAAAGATATGAAAAAGTGATAAACTGATAAAATGTTGCTGATATTATGATGAATATTTTGTCAGTTGACTAAATTTGGATATCTCTTACAGATATCGAGCTACTGTAATCAATCGAATAGCATGATCCCCTTCCCCCTCAGATTGTTACTTCTCAACGTTGAGCCAATTTCATGCCCACTTAACTTGTTTCCTGTGAAAGATATCGAAAAGGTGTCAACTGATAAAATATTGCTGAGATTATGATTAACATTGCATCAGTTGACAACTTTTTGATATCTTCCATAGGAACCGAAATAAATTGTCTCAAAGTTAGGGGATCTTTCTATTAGACTGTTTACGGTAAGTTTGATCTTTAGGGTCCCAATTACCTGTTATGCAGTTTTTAGGTTCTCATAAGTGATAAGATAGCTAACTGTTAATTTAGGGTTAGTAAAAATTTCGTTAGATCAAAGATCAAGTTTTTTGATTCCTCGAATTACTCACATTTTCGCTTTAACCCCTAATTTTGTATATTCTCGGTATACCTGTCAAAAATTGTATACAGACGAAATTTGTAGCATTTATGGTTTGCAATTAAATTAACACCTGCTTGATAATTATCTAGACCATAAAGTTCAGGATAATCGAGATCAAAAAGGTCACTTTACTCCTGGTAAAAATTTAGAGACTTCCAACTTTTCTATCGAACCTTCTAGAATTCTCTTGTTCCTTCCTCATTTTCTCTCTTTTCTTCGCTATACAAATCTCGAACAAAAAAGTTTTACCTCTACCTACGTAGTAGGCCCCAACCAATCAACCAACCAACCAAAAAAACGTTTCCTGCTATTATGTGTACGGGGACGGAGGACGGACCCAGTCACCCCGTCTCTCTCTCCCTTTTTTCTATTACTCTGTCGTTTTTCTTTGGGTTCGAGACAGGCACACAACACCAAATTGGGCATGTGTTTTCTTCTTTTATTTTCTTGAATAGAACACAAAAATGGTGTCTGGTCCTAGGCTTTTTTTTTGGCTTTTGGAGGTATAGTTTTGGTTGAGCTTGTAGCTTGAAGAATCTCTCGTTGGGGTCATTTTGGGGCTATTTTGGACAATTTTTTAGTATTTTATGGTGTACTTGATTTCACATATTTTTTCGCTGTCCACTTTTTAAAAATCTTTCGTCGACCCCCCCCCCCCAGACGTTCGCTTAACTTTGAGCTTAATTATCTCGGTTCCTTCAAGTGGAATCAAGAAAATTTTAACTGATAAAATGATTATTATAAAATTTGACACACTTTCCCAGTTGACTATAATTTTCTATCTTTAACAAGAATGGAGATAAATTGGGTCCACCGTATACCTTCTAACTCTCGACTTCGAGCTAATTTATCTCGGTTTCTGTTAAAGATATCGAAACGCGGTCAACTGATAAAATGTTTGTGATACTATGATAAACATTTTATCAGTTAGCCACATTTTTCTGTCTTTAACAGGAACCGAGATATGTTGGGTCAAACTATACCGTATCCCCATAACACCTATTCCCCTCCCCCAAACGATAGGTCCACTTTGAGCCAATTTATCTCGGTTCCTTGGGGAGATATGAAAAAGTTGTTAACTAATAAATCGTTTATCATGATATCAGTAACATTTTAGTAGTTGGTTACTTTTTGATATCTTTCACAGGAACCGAGATAATTGAGCTTAAAGTCGAGAGTTAGTTAGGTAACTCTAGAGTGTTCTCTGTCTTCTGCCCCTATCATTTTTCAATTCTGTGTTTTTTTCGAAATTTTGGAACCAGACAATTTTTGTATATCTTTTTATTCCCACAGTTCATACTTTGTGTCTACAAAATTATTGTTTTCTTTTTTTTTCAAAAAATCTGAAAAACGGAAGTTATGCTCCTGGAGGAAACCAGGAAATACCAAATTTTCAGAGACATTATTCTGAAGGCGTGGGAAGGAAGTCATAATAATTCAATTAGGGTAATTAACTAGTTTAGTTAGCCGGTCCCTCTTTTTTTTTCAGAATCACCAAAACACAAAAAATTCCAATCTATCCCGAAAACGCAACAATTTTAGTATTCGATGTATGCATTTATTGTAGTCGTCATTCAAAAAATTCCAGATTTTTCAGATAAAAATTTCCATTTTCTGCCGTTAAAAATTGTAACATTTCTCATTGACTGACGTAGGTACAACTGTCGTCACTGGAGACTTATGCTAATTTTTAAATTCTCTCTTTTCTTTCGCTTCTGGCGGGTACTACCATATTCTCTTTCGGGTATATAAACAAATGGATCAGCCGGTTGGAGAGGGAAACGGAAAATTTACATTTTCTACTCTTTTTTATTTTTACGCCTTCTTTTTTTTGCACTGCATTTTGTAGATTTTTCTCTAGCTAGAAAATACCGTATTCCGTCTAATAGAAACCAACCCAAACCGTTAACTTTGAGCTCTATTATCTCGATTCCTGTGAGAGATATCAACAAACTGTCGATCGATAAAATGTTTGTGATATTATGATAAATAATTTATTAGTTGACAACTTTTTGATATCTTTCAAGAGAAGTGTGATATATCAAAGTAAACGGGTGTCCAGGTGGTGTTCTTTTAGAGTGTTTAGGTGGGTAAGCCCACCCAAACCATCAATTTTGAGCCGATTTATCTTGGCTCCTATGAAAGATACCAAAACCGTGCCAACACAAAAAATGTTTGTGATTTTATGATAAACAATTTATCAGTTGGCAACTTTCTGCTATCTTTCACAGGAAATGAGATAAACTGGCTAAAAATTGGCGTCTAGAGTTTTTTAAATCTTTGTCCCGCTTGCGACTAGTTTAACTCCTTCTATCTCAGCTCCTGATAGAGATTTTTGAAATT